GTTATACTTCTTCTCTCGAACTGAGTCAGAAGAGAAACGATCTAAACCTAATTGTTATTACTACTTGCTAGAACTGATCAAGAAGAGAACATCTAACACGTGTTATACTCTTGCTGGAACTGATCAAGAAGAGAACATCTAACACGTGTTATACTCTTGCTAGAACTGGTCAAGAAGAGAACATCTAACAAGTGTTATACTCTTGCTGGAACTGATCAAGAAGAGAACATCTAACACATGTTATACTCTTGCTAGAACTGATCAAGAAGAGAACATCTAACACATGTTATACTCTTGCTAGAACTGATCAAGAAGAGAACATCTAACACGTGTTATACTCTTGCTGGAACTGATCAAGAAGAGAACATCTAACACATGTTATACTCTTGCTAGAACTGATCAAGAAGAGAACATCTAACACGTGTTATACTCTTGCTGGAACTCATCAGTAGAATGCTTAAGAACATTAATTAATTAAATATAGTAATGATTATACTTGACCTGATCAACTAGAGGGAAGACAGGTAGTCAACAGTACCCACTACTCCTGTTTGATCGAATAGTGGGATTTGAGTCACTGTTACAGAGTATCTGTAGCCTCTAAAGTTTAAACAAATTTATTGTAAGATAAAGATTAAATATCGCAATAATCATTCGGTTATTTATGAGTCGTACTGCTGTTGTCTTTCAGTTGTTAGCGGGTTGTGTTACAGTTTTTTTTCGTTGTTTATGAGTCGTACTGCTGTTGTCTTTCAGTTGTTAGCGGGTTGTGTTACAGTTTTCTTTCTGTTATTTATGAGTTGTGCTCCGGTTATCCTTCAGTTATCAGTGGCTTGGGCTACGGTTTTCTTTCTGTTGTTTATGGATTGTGCTGCTATCGTCATTCAATTGTTAGTGGTTTGTGTTGCTGTTGCCTTTCGGTGGTTTGTATTTGCGCTGCTTTTATCTTTCGATGGTTTGCGGGTTGTGCTGTTATTTTTTGGTTGTATGTGGACTGTTCTGTTGTATTTCGGTTGTTTGTACTGCTGTTGTCTTTAGATTGTTAAAGGGTTGTGCTTCTGTTGTTTTTCCGTTGTTTGAGCTTGTGCTGCTGTTGTGCTTTGGGTAATTAAGGGTTGTCTTTCGGTTTCTGCTGATGTAATCTTTCGGTTGTTTATAGGGTTTGTCGTTGTCTTTAGTTGTGTGGATTTTTGTTACCTATTTTTTCTGGTTGTATGTGTTTTTGTTGCTGTTGTCTTGAGGGTGTTTGTGGATTGCGCTGCCATTGTAGATACCTGAAGAAGACAGACCAATGTTCTGTCGAAATATGTAGTACTACCCCCCCCCCACCCCCCACACACACACACACTCCACCCCATTATGCTTATAAATTGTTGTTTGCCAACTTATTTTTATGGTGGAAATTCTGTGTTAACAACATTCAAGTAAGCTTAAGTCTTGACACCAGACACTTCTTACCAGAACACTGCATGGTGGAAGTTTTGTTTTAACAGCATTCAAGTAAGTTTAAGTCTTGACACCAGAACACTGCATGGTGGAAGTTTTGTTTTAACAGCATTCAAGTAAGCTTAAGTCTTGACACCAGACACTTCTTACCAGAACACTGCATGGTGGAAGTTTTGTTTTAACAGCATTCAAGTAAGCTTAAGTCTTGACACCAGACACTTGTTATCTGTTACCAGAAAACGTTATGATGGAACTGTTTTTTTTAAACAGAATTCAACTAAGCTTAAGTCTCAACACTAGACACTTGTTATTTCTTACCAGAACACTTTCCATAACATTAAATATTTTACACCGATGTGAACTTAATGTATAAAATGTTTAATCACGCAGCTACTTACCTTTATTGTTGTCTACACAGAAGTGCAGATATTTACGCTTAGTGAATTCAATTAGAAGACTGCTTATTGTTATTAGTAACCTAATAAATGTACAAAATACATATATATTTCCTGAATAAATAAGTGTCATAATTCTGTCGTAATAGAGCTTTTATTGTCTTAAAGAATCAAATGCAGTTAATAAAATATATTGATTAGTTTGAATCATTTTGATTTATCTTATGTGGTTGTCTAAGGCGGTAGAAATAAATGGAGATAGTTTATCACATTATATAATCATAAAGGGTGCAACTGTACCGTTATTTAACACTTTTACTTCTAAGTTTAACAACTTTTGACGGAAATGAATTTTATAGCATGTTACAAAATTGTCCCTTTTGTATAAGAGAGATGCAAAATCGTAGAAAGTTTGACTGTTGAAAACTCTTAATCTGCACTATGTCAAATAGGAGTTTTATAGCATGCTACAAAACTGTCCCTTTAATACAGGAGGGCTGCCAAAACCTCAGAAAGTCTGACTGTTGAAAACCCTAAATCCACTCTACGTTAATATACATGTGACACCTATTAAACCAATGCAGTTATAATCTTGCATCAAATAATTTTATGAAAATTATATAAAATTATGGGTATAGGTAATAAAAAATGTGTGAAAATTGTGCATGCCTTTATTTATTTATATTGATTTGGTCACTTTATAGAGTACGTGTTATGTTGATGAAATAAAGTGTTTTACTGTGTTAAAACTACGAACATGCTTTCTTCACGAGATTAAAGTGAATTTTCTAAACTTACTTGTGACAATTTTGTAGGTATGCTGACGCTTCTTCTGTGGTGGAACTGTGGCAGTCGCTCGGCCTGTCGGAAGGCATGCAATTTCTAAAGGTAAGACACTTGTCACATCAAATTTCTTCTGTTGTTGTTTAGAACTCGCATGCTGTTTTTCAACTAGTCAGTGTAAGTTTTATCTTCAAAACTTTTGTATGAGCGCCAAGGAGGACTGGTTTACTGCTTTCAAGTCGTCTAAAAATTTCTTTTCGTTCGTATGCATACACTCTACAAAGCCAGTATTCACTTCGGCACGTTCCAATAGAGCAAGCGAAGTTGTCACAGCTGAATCAGGTGCTCTCGGCCGTCAAGCTGCTACACCTTCACTAAGTTCAAGGCGTTCTCCTCTTGTTCATTGTTGTGTGCGTCAGACGAACGAAATCGACGGCATGCTATTGATTTTTCTTCAATCCATTCACGAAACAGCAGCCGATCTGCATCAAAACGTGTTTCACAGTGCAGTGTTTTTTGTTCTCACAAAATACAGTTTACATACGTCTTTAAAGGTCGAAGCTAACCCTTCAATAATTTAATTAACTACTCTCTAATGAATAGTTGAGAAATAAATTAATATATCCGTAAATATTCCGATTTTTGATATTTTTATGTAGATTTATTGTATAAGAAGAAAGAATTAGATAAAAATTTTAATTTCAAAGTAGGCTATTGCCTTTTTTAAATAACTACGCACGCTGTATCGGCATGACTTACATTTATATGTTTATCAAATTGTTTTAAATATAGTTTAAAATTGACCGATAGTCCTCTAATCTAAGAAGATCATGCGTAATAAAGATAGTTTTTGTTATCTTTCGATTCAGCTTTTTTTTTCTTAATTATAAATTAGAAAAAGACAGACACTTTTGTTCTAATAATTTCGTTAAAACAAGAAGTTTGATCGACTTCCAATTAAATAAAACATTAGATCTGGTTAACCTTTTAATCCTACAAATTTTTAACTAACTATTTCATTTAAATATTCATTTTGGAACAATCGCAGTCGTGATATTCTTGTTTCTGTATTCGTAACTTTTCTTCTTACAAAATATATATATATATATATATCGTAGCAGTAATTGTGATACAGTTAACAGGTTAGTTTCTTAAAGTTTCTCTTTCACAGTTGGTTCGAGCGTAGCCTAGTGGTTAGTGTAGAAATTGGTGATTCCTGGTTTGCGCTCCATTGCCACAAAATCACACTCCGCACTTTGTGGTCGTGGGAGCGGTCAAATCTCATAAGATTTGGCGGTAGATGCTTTTGACTAGCTGCCTTCCCTCTGTCTTGCAGTTCAAAGTTAGGGGTGATTAGCGCGAATATCCGAAACAAAGTTTTTAACAATTACAATGATTACAAGTATAGTATTCAATATTTCATACAACAACAACAAACAAATTTCTATGGATACGCCTGTACATAATTAGCTAGAAATGCTGCAATATTATATGTACAGCGTTTTTTGTAAGCTTTGAAACTTAATACATCTAAAGCTATCCTTACTGCTTCCTAATATAGTATAAGGTATAGTTCTTTGTAGTAAAATATCATTGACTTGTGTGCCCTTTTATAGACCAAAACATTGATTTTGTATGAGTAGCTCTTAAAGCATCTATATTCAATTATTACAGCATGATTCCACACCTTTGACATCACTAACACCAAAGAGTTAATAACAACATGAAACTGTATAACAGTTGTCAAATTTAATTTATTGCGATTACGAATTCCAGCACCTGTTGGTTAGAGCGCTGGACTCACTATCTGCAGGTCGAGGGATCGAAACCCGTCCCCGAACGTTCTCACTCTTTCAGCCGTGGGTTGGCGGTGGATTGTGTTGAACGGCTGCCTTCTCTCTAGTCTCTTACTTCAAAATTAGGGACGGCTAGCGCAGATAGCTCTCGGGTAGTTCTGCGCAAAATTCAACAACTAAACAAACGAATTCCCGCCAAAGATCAATCTTGTGACTCAAGTGTGTGCAAACTTACGAATACGTACATATTGCGAAATCAGTTTACAAAATTACTAAGCGGATCAACGATTTGAGCTGTGTGTTATTCCCACGTGTTTGTTTGTGTATTTTAATATAAGTATATATTCACATGTATCATAAATTAACAACATTTTGTGCTCGTATTTTTACTTTGTGCTACTAATCAACAGGGTTAGTCTGTGTTGTTAGTTACTGCTCATTTGTAAAGGTATTGAGAAAAGCTTCTGTGTAGTGCCCAAGACAACCACTAGGTGTAATCTAGGACGCAGGTGTTAGTGGACGTCTCGTAATGTTTACCTTTCGCCACTACAGTACAGTATATCTGTGCTCGCTTGAGCCCAAGAGGTTTATGTATGCAGTTATAGCGTTCCTAATCAGGATAACCTCTATTTACTTTAGTTTGAGGTGTACTCCAGACCATGCATGAATAATCCAGGTCGATGACGGGACAGTGCCAGAATCTTAATGAGCTCATCAATAATAATAGAAAAAAAAATTCTTGTCTATAAAAGAATCGAGATAAAAACGTAGAAAACATTAATTAAATTTGATTCATTTTTGTAGATTTGTTAATAAAACAAGGCACATTTAAATTTTTAGGAAACACCAACAGCATTTAATTCAATAGACATGTCGCAATATAACCATGTTTTTAGTGGACTGACAAAACAAACATTGTGGTCAAAAGACGAGCTATTAAAAAGTTATTACTTTTTTGACGATATTGAAAGAAGGCCTGAATTTAATGAACTGTCAGAAACATTAACTTGTTTAAGTTATTTTCATTAAAAAGATACTGAAGCTCTACTATTATAGCTTTCAAGTATGCACTGTATTTTACTTTCAGTCTGATACTTTAAACTTTACTGTCATCTTGTATATAAGTAGTGTCTCACTAGCTTAGAATTTCCAGTTGTACTTGAGAGTTATGTGTCTAGCAAGTCCTTAGCCTGAACTCGCTGAATTACAGGTTTTATCATTCAGGTTTAATGGTATTAAGACACAAGGACACACTGTTAGTTTAGCGATTTTATACTTTCTGTAGCTCGGACTGTGGTAATCCAAACTATCACATATTTACACTGGATGTGATCTACTGGACCCTTACTGCACAAACCAAATTTCAAAGTAATCCATTCAGAAAAACACGAGATATAAAATCTCCAATTTTGATTGAATCCCCCCCCCCTTTTATTTTGGCACCGAAAGTACGGAAACTTAATTTGATAGAAAAACATAATTAACTTTGATACACTGATATATCTTTACAACCTATAATTAGGTATCAAAAAGGTCACGTGAGCCATCGGTCTGAAATTCTTACTACAGCTTCACCTAAGAGTAAAAGTGGACCATTTTTAGTTTTTTGTCATTCTGATTAAAGACGGTTGATTTAGAACAGAAAAATTTTAGGGTGAAAGGACGTGTAGATACATAAGTATTGGTTAGGCCAAACAAACTAGATTAGCAGTTTCTAGGTTTCAAAAGAATCATTCAGGTGGATGGTTATTATACATACAACTTTTAAGCATAAATTTACTAAATTTAATGAAATTCTCCTAATTAAAGAGCATTTAGCTTCACGTGATATTAGTTTAAACAATTAGCATAAGTAATGATGTTTCAAACGGCTGTACCGAGTGCATTAGGGGAGATGACATGAAACTGTTAATCTAGTTTTCATGACATCCCTATAAAGGAAGTTATTAACACTATCTTATAGAGGAAAACTACCACCATTTATTTTCAAGAATCTGGTT